AATTGGCCAAAATCTGGATGGGCTCCCAAGGGAGGTGGTTCTCTCCCCTACCCTGGGGGTCTTCAAGAGGAGGTTGGATGGGCATCTGGATGGGGTCATCTGAACCCAGCACTCTTTCCTGCCTAGGCAGGGGGTCGGACTCGATGATCTATTGAGGTCCCTTCTAACCCTAACATCTATGAATCTATGAAAACCACACCTTGTGAGTCACATATAACTCCTGGTCAGTTTAAATACAGTTCCTAAAGCTGGTGTGCTGTGTGCAGATTATTGACTCGTACATCTTGAAAGTTTTGTCCAGTGGCTCTTGGTTGTGTCAAGATTTTTGTTCGCGGCTGAAAGGGTTAGGATGTTTGGACACCCGTGGTATAAACCATGGTAAAATATTATTTGAAAGGCACAATATACAGTAATGAGCCAGTGTTTAGCTAGCCTTGCCAATGGGATTTGCAAATGTGGTAGGGTCTCTCAAACTGGGGCTGGGCAGAGACATAATAAATTCGTAGGAATATAGGAATCTGAATTTTAAATCTGGACAGTGGTTTCCCACAGTAGGTGTAGGACAGCACAAACTGTTTGCTGTTCGTGGGCATCAGCATATTTTGCAGAGTGACTTTCAGGGCTTGTTTCCAATAAATCTTCAGGGAGAGTTTTAAATGCTTATTGTTCTTGCTGTCAGTGTCCATTTTTCCTGAAATGGCCATGAGAAATTTAGATAGTGCTCAAAGATAGCATTAGATGAAAATGAGATAGCGTAAAAACCATTTAAAGCACCTATTCAACTGAAATTTGAAAGGCAACTTCACCTCTGGTTGAACTATCACTGTACCATTAATGTTTTTTGGGCCTAATTTACAAAGTTATCAGGGTGCCTAAGGATGCAGATAGGCATCTAGCAAGATTTTCAGAAGTACTGAAGTGGGGTTAGTGTCTACCTCCCGTTGACTTTCAATAGAAATTAGGCACTTAAACTGCTTAGGAGCTTTGGTGAATCTTATTAGGTGCTTATCTGCACTTTTGGTGCCTAAATTACTTTGTAAATCAGGTCATTTCTGGTCCCTGGGAAGAAGATGCTTTAGAAATGCTAAGTAGTTATTATTTCGGTGTCTGCTTTTCTTGCTCATATGTCCTATAAACTCTTGAAAATAACTGCAGAGATACAGCAACATGATCCAGATCCGGAATAAACCCACTGATGACTGATGTGTTCAGAAGGAATGTATGTATAATGAAGCATTCCAGTTCCTGTCAGTGGTGTCCAGATCCCCAAAGATGGGGCTTTATTACATTAATTTACTTTTGTAAATTGTCTGCATTTACATGCATTCTTGACTCAGGGAATGCAAGTTCATCACAAGGTTACTTATCA